TTGGTGTGAGGGTGGTGAGACAGTGTCCCAGGTTGGCCAGAGAAGCTGTGGCTGCTCCTCCCTGGAAGCGTTTGTGGCCAGGTTGGATGAGGCTTTGAGCAACCTGGTCTAGTGGAAGGTGTCCCTGCTGCTGGCAGGGGGGTTGGAACTGGAGGAGCTTTAAGGTCCCTTCCAACCCAAACCAGTCTGGGATTCTCAGAACTGCTCTGTCACTCCCACCGCCTCATTTGTGTGCCTGTAAATACAGCACTGCCCAAACTGGGGCTCACAAGGACTTAGAAATGATGATGGGCTCTGTGGAAATAACCTCTTCATTGTACTGTTGGGTGTGTCTATATATCTAGATATTACCCACTAACCTTTGAGATCTGTAACTCTCTCAGAGGGCAAGAGTGCAAGAAAGGAGTGAGCATGTAAAAGCTGCCCAAGATGGGCTCTGTCTGGCCTGTTTGAAGTCTGATTCAGAGGAGGCTTCACAGGCTGTTCTGAACCTGCTCCAGCTACCTTTGTGTGCTGGTTTTGCCTGCCTGCCTTTAAATGTCACTGTTTTGATCCGAGGGTATTTAACTACAAGTAAGGGGATGACGCTGAGCAAAGGGAAATAGAGGTTGAACATCAGGAAACACTTCATAACAAGGAGAGCTCTCAGACATTGAAAGGTCTCGGCAGGAGGTGGTGGAAGCCCTACATTCTGTGCCATTAACAACTGAAAGGACAAAAGGCACTAGAGGATTTGGTGTAGGCAGGGGCAGCACCTCTCCAGGTCTGTTTATATATTGGAAATTCATGCTCCAAAATAAAGAAGTGAATCACTCATGGCAACAGTCCAATTCAGGCTTTTTGGTCAAGACCACGTTCCTACAAATTATACCAGAACACATTTCAAAGTGATTGGAATTATTTCTAATTTACAGAAGTCAGTGAGATCAGAATCTTCCCTTAAGATTCTGCTCAGTCATTACTTGTATAAAGCTGCCAATAATTCCTTAAGACTTTATGCCCTGGCTGCCACAGCACAGTCATCAGCTGCCACGAGAGCCAGGCCACCCTGTCTTGGTCCATTTGCAATTTAAACCATCAGACCCTGCTTACATGACTTCTTGGGAAAAAAAATCCAGTCTTTGTTAATGCAAGAATATTTGCCTTTTTCAAATGATGACCCTGGAGTTCACCTTCCTGGGGCCATGCAGAAAAATCTTGAGGGATAACAATGATTCCTGAAACACACAGGCACAACTCCATGAGATTCAATAAAATCCTTTCTGCTTAAATTACCTAGGACACTTTCCCTATTTTTTTTTTCCCTACTTTTCTATTTGTTTTAGGATCAGCAATACGTATACATTCCAAGTAACACCCTCTCTTTGCAAGCAAATGTGTACGTACACTTTGCATATAAGAACATTTAGAATACCCACTCATTAAATATTTTTTGTCTGGCTTAGATGACTTCTTCTGCTTTAAAAATCTTTTTCCAACATTTCATCACAAAACACGGGTAAATTTAGAAATGAAAATGCAATTTCAAATCAGAGAGTCAACACCGTTTGTCTAGAGATGTTGAGGAAAACCAGACATTTCTCCAAATGAAAGATTTCAACGTGCTTAAACATTTAGCCTTGGTTGCTGATGAAATAATTCACCAAGTGCGACATGCAGTGGGAATGAGGTATTATCTCTACCTTGTGCCCTGGCTGGATTTCTGGTGAAAAAAAAGTCTGAACTGATAGGTTTTTTCTCCTAGTTCCTGCTTTCTTGTATTTGGTGGGTTTTTTCCAATCGTCTCAAGGAAGACTGTGCTGTACACACCAGGTCCACGCTGCTATTGCTTGCTTGCACTGCCATGCTGGCTGAAGAGATCAGGAACCACTGTGACACACAGATGGACAGAAAGGGAGTGCTTTTGGGTACAGACTCTTAATTCCAACAGGAACAGGGCCACAGAAAGATGGAAGGGTAATGCTGTGGGTTCCTCTCTCTGTTCAGTGAGCACTTAATATAAACCAGATAAGCATTTGTAGAAGCACAAAGTTGACAGCAAGTCACTCTCTCCACCAAAGACGAACTGGGAATCGTGGTCTTTTACTCTCTGATTCTGATAATAAATGCACGTTCCCCACAGACTGGGAGAGGCTAGGGAGATGGACCAGGAAATCTCTCTTCTACTCCAGAACTGCCTACGCATAGAAGATGAGGGCCTGAAACACCACAGGCTGGGTAAGAAATCAGCCCCTGATGGCCTGTGTCCTATAGACTGAGATCAGCTGAGTGGGGTTTTTGGAGGTTAGCAGCTCGGGTTTGCTATGCCTATAGAGAGTATCTGCACAGATCTAGGAGAGATCTGAGCATCTGGCACTGCTTTTGATCTCTCCCGCTCTCTTCCTGCATTATACTATAGTTAACTTCTGAGTATTTTGACTTCTTGTGCATCCTCTGGCCATTACATGGACATCTGTGAAGTGGGGCCTGGATACCAAGATTCAGAAGCTACTTTAGGGGAAAGAATGAAGCAGTGAAGTCCTCTGCTAGATCTAGCTCTCAACATGTAGTCTCAACACAACACTGACTCTTTTTGATCCAAAACACAGAATAAAAATGGCAAGAGGGTGTTTTCCTTTGAATAGGGGCAGTAGCTGTATTCCCATTGGATCTCTGAGTGGTAGCAACAGCAGGTTTGGCTATATTATGAGAAGCTGAAGGATGTTGCTGCAATATTATGCTTAAAATCTGAATAGTTAAAAAAAGCCTGAACGAATCATTTGACAAGTCCCGGAGGATAGGATGGAGATAAAAAATGGGTACTGCTAAGCAGGACTGAATGATAAAG